AATTAATTTATTATTAAAGTTAGGAAAGAATAAACTTATTAATCATTGATTAATTAACAATTAAATAATGTTTTTAATTTTGATTAAAAAACCTTAATTGATCTCTTAATATTATTTTATAATAATCATTTGATAAATAAATACTTATTAATTTTAGAAGATTGTAATTATTTAAAGATTTTTGTTTTGTAGATTAAATTTCATGAAATATAAAAATACTGTTTATTATATTGATGATTCCAGTACAATAATTTCAACATCTTTTAAAATAAATTCCTATTAAATTAAGTTGATATTATTTATTTTTAAATAAAATTAATCTTTCTAATTTTTATAAAATGCTACTACTTGATATCTTTAGATTTAAAAAACATATTAATCAAAAGGTTTAATAATTTTTAAAAGTATTTATTAAATATTTTCAATAAAGTAAGATATTTTATAAAATAACAGTTAAATTTTTTAATTAAGCAATAATTTAAAACTATTTTTAAAATTATCATTACACTTACAGTATTAGTGATATCAATTTATATTAAAATAATATTAATTTCTTTTTAAACAGAATAAAAATTACAATGTTAATTAAATACAATTTATAAACATAATTGTTCTTCTTTATTAAGAGAATATTAAATATTTTGTTAATATGTTTACAAAATTTTAACTAATAAAAATATTTTAAACATATAAAACATTAGATGGTTGTTTAAAACTCTAATAAAAAAATATTTATAACATAAATAATTTAATAAAAATTTTTTACCTTACAAAATATTTTTATTTCTAATTATACTAATTTAACCTTTTCATCAATTAATTCTTTATAAATTTGACTTAAACTAGTTATATAAAATTCACCTGCTCTTAAATTAAATACATTATCATCTATTTTTATATTATCAATGTTAGTTAAACATATAAAACCTACAAATTCATTTTCACTTTCACCTTCATTTTGATTATAATTTATACTCATTTTATCCATTAACTCGTAGTAACTTTCATAAAATATTGTTTCATTACTACTAAGATTGTTTCTATCGATATATACTAAGTGTCTTATCTTATCAATTCTCACTAAGAGATATTCTTTCAGAAAATAGTTAATTCTGTTGTATTCCATTTCAAGTAAAGATTTAATAACTGGATCTGTCTCCATTTCATATAACCTGTCTTCTAAATAAAACCAGAAAGTATCAACTGAGCTTTTGTATGGTAGTAATCGTGAACAGTTATTCTCGTTTACATATGCGTCTATTAAGTAATCTATACTGCTGTTTGTGTAGGAGTAATTCCTTTTACTTTCATTCATAATTCAAAAGATTATCTGACAGAGTTTCTAATAAACTTTTTAATAAAATTACATGTAAAATATTTATTTAACCGTAAATTACACTTAAATACTTATTGTCTCATCTCCTTCGACTATATCAAACAAAATATTAATGTTCTTTTTACATAAAGGGCAGTTTTCTCTTATGCTTATCCACTCATCAATACAATCTGCATGAAAATGATGATCACAGGGTAGTATCTTTATTTTTATTCCCCCTATATATTCTTCATAACAGATAGTGCACATTTTGGTATCGTTTGGTAGTTCACAACCTTCATGGTATTCCACAGATTCTAATTTTGGTTTTAAAAAGGAAAGTAAAAGCAGTAGCATTGCAATAGCCAAAAGAGGTAATATAAAGCTTATGAATCCAAAAGAAACCCATAGAAGTGTAGTGTAATAAAGCCATGGTTGTGTAATTTTACAGTTTGTACAATCTTGAAGACAGTGAAACCCAACTATATGCCAAAATAACATTGTTGCTTCTAAAATATTATTTAAGAGTGCAATATCGTTATCTTCATCCAATTCGGGTATTCTTGAAATCATAAAGAACTGCTTGTTTTTGAAATAAAATACAAAACCTTTTGTGATTGTTAGTACTACATAGACACACAAAAATATTCTTAAGCTTTGATCAGATGTTGTCTTATCCCATTCCAAAAACAGAATAGTTCCTGTGGTAATAACTATTACAATTTTTATTAAAAGTTCAAGTATAATTAAAAATCTTACGCAATCTAGTGCAGTTAAGTCTCTTGATCTTTGTCTTTGAGGAGGTACTTCAATTACTTCAGGTGTTTGCTGTTCCATAAATACCCCTTTACTATTTGTTTTAAACCAGACAACAACCAATAAAGTTATTTAATTTAATTGATTAAATTTTATTTTAATAATTCTGATTTAATAGTCAATTTATAGACACTCTTTGATGGTGACACTTTCCTTACATGTTTAACATACTTAATATCAAGGTGATATTTAGTTTTTTCATAAATCTCATCATTAATATTTTTATTGTCTCTACAAAAAAAGTAACAGTGTAAAGTATAATTGTTATTTTTAAAAGATGGTAAAAATTTTACAAAATCTAATGATTGTTCTGGTAAATTAAAAATAAAATGATCTATTTTTATATTTTGCAATGAAATTAAAAATTTCTTTGCATCTTCACAATAAACAGTGTCACAAGTAAATTTGTTAAGTTTAAGTGATTTTTTAAGACACTTGATAGCATCTGGATTTAAGTCATTTGCATACACTTTACAATCTTTTTTTAGCAACGGTAAAACATGTGGACCGACACCACAAAATGGATCACACACCACTGACTTTGATTCAATTTCTTTAATTAAATTCATTCTCTCTCCTTGTAACCTTGAACACCAGTATACTTTAGATAAGTCAACATAAATTTTTACATTACTTTCTCTAACCATCGTTGTAAACTTTTCTTCTCCTTCTAACACTTCATACTCATAATTTCTGTAAACATTATCAATTTTACCCTTTTTATTAATTACAGTCTTATTAAACTTCTTATTTAATACCCATGCAATAATATGTTTATAATTTAAAACTTCATCATGTAGATTTAAATGAATTATATCACCAACTTCTTCAAATGCTGATATTGCATATTTTTCAGGTATAATTTTTCTAAGAATTTCAGTGTGATTAAAATAGTTAAAATTTAACCTTAATTTAGCTTTAACAACATCAAAATTTTTTATACTTTCACTAAGTAAAACAAGCAAATTTCCCTTTTGAATTTCATCAACAGAAACATCAAATTTCTTGTATTCTTTATTAATACTGATCACATGAGGAATACCCTTTTTTTCAAATAAAAGCTTTCTGTAATCACTTAAAAACAAATTCAATTTTAATTTAGAAATCCAAACACCAAAAACAACTATTGTTTCACTAACTTTTTCTAAAAGTTGATCTTTCTCTTCAAAAGTCATCATGTAAAAATATTTGATCAAAAATTTAATAACAATTTAATTATCTTCATCAAGTGTCTCTTCAGCTAACTTTCTAACTTTTCTACTATAAAGTTTAATATTGTTTCTGTATTCATTAGCCGCTTCAATGTTAGCAGGACTATCAGGATTAGGCTCATGTAACAACGAAATAATACTCAAAATAACTGTTTCTGGTGTTCTAACAGGCAACCATCTCTCATCAATTGATTCATAACCAAATTCATCATTACCAGCTTTGTGAAGAATACTAATACAAACAGTACCATCAGCTGAGATATTTGGATGCCACATTTTAGAAGTAAATTTAAATGAAGGTGGTGCATCAGGATAGTTTGAAGGGAAAGACATTTTAGCTCTATATATTGCTGATTCATGTAAAGAATCTTTAGGACCAAATAAAACAACTTCCCACTCAAATAAATTATCATCTATGAGTCCTATACTGAAATATTGTAATGTATTTTTACATTCGTTAATCCTTTTAAAATCGCTATGTAAATAAGCTCTGCTTCTACTCTTATCATTTCTAGACATAGGGGATAAATAAAATTAATTTTTATTTAGAATTCGAAGTTAAGTAAAACAATACAAAACACACTTGAAACTCTCCTTTACATAAGCATACATGACTTATTTGTCTAATAATATTTTTTTCGTAAAATTTTTTACCCATCATGAGTAATAAGCTTGTTAATAAGAATAAAACATTTTTAAAACAAGAGACAGCAGAAGTTGGTCTATATGCAACAACAGAAGAAATATCAAAATCAAGAGTGGTAAAAGATATTGGATATGGTATTACAACACCAAGAACTGCGTATGAAGAATATTATGATAAGAAATGTCCTTTTACTGGAGACATCACAGTCAGAGGAAGAATTATTACAGCAGAAATTGTAAAGATGAAGGCAGAAAAAACTATTGTAGTTCAGAAGAATTATCTTCATTATGTTCCAAAGTACAAGAGATTTGAAAGAAGAAACACAAAATTGAATGTCCATTTAAGCCCATGTTTTAACGGTTTAGTTCAAGTAGGAGACACTGTAATTTGTGGGGAAACAAGACCTCTCAGTAAAACTAAACATTTTGCTGTGGTTGCTATTGAAAAAAAGGCATCTGATAAGAACGTTAAAGAATTTAGTTTGTAATAAATTTTAATCAAAAAAAGAGCTTAATTAAATGATTTTTTTTACCTCAAAATGGGACTTAAATTTAGTAAGATTGATATTAGTAATATTACGTTAGAATGCTATTATAAGGAAGAATGTAATAAGTATTGTCTTGGTGATATTAAAAACAAGTATACTCTTATAATGTTCTATCCTAAAGACTTTTCGACTGTGTGTCCTACTGAGTTATTAGCAATATCGTCGATGGCTGATACTTTTAAAGATTTAGATTGTCAGGTACTATTTGTATCAACTGATAGCATTGAATCTCATAAGAAGTACTGTGATGAGAAAGAAGAAGTTAATGGAAAGACTGGAATTGGTAAACTTAACCATCCTATGTTGTCAGATCCAGATCATAAGTTATGTGAGTATTTCGATCTCTACAATGAAGAAGAAAATATTTGTAGGAGAGGGACTGTGATAATTCATAATGAAAGTTCTAAATTAGTCTTTTTCTCAGTCAACTGTGATCCTATTGGACGTAATTCAAAAGAACTAGTCAGAGTTATTAAGGCTTATGATTCTTACCTTACCAATGGTGAAATGTGTCCAATAGACTTTAAAGGAACTGATTAAAGTTTATTCATCAAAATTTACTTCTAATTCTTTATTGATTTTTTTAATTGTAACACCTTTTAACTCTGATATTTTTCCAATCATACTTTGTAAAACATCTTTAATTTCATTATATTCATGTAATTTCTCCATATAATTTTTATAAGATTCTTCTACTGAGTATATTTGAAGCTTATTTTTTAATTGTTTATTTTTATGAATTAAATATTGTAATTCACTTTGTTCTAAACTCTCATTAAGCTCATATCTTTCACCACCTACTTTTTTTAATAAGTTTAATTCATTTAATAAATCAAAATCACAAATCTCATCTTTATTTAATATTCTTTGGTTCTTAAACAAATTAAAAATGGTCATGTCAAATCATTTTAATTTTTTTATAAATAAAATTATGAACAAATAATTTAAATATTTTTTAATAAAAGATATTTTTAACCCATACAAATGACACAACAGCACGTTTCTAGGATAAAAGAAGTAGTGGAGTTTAAAGTAAGTGATGGTAAAGATTTTATAAAAGTAATTTGGTCAGATGAAAGCGAAGGATGGGTAAAGATAGAAAATGTAAGTGAAAAATCTCTTATTATTGGGTTTATTCGCAAGATAATAGAAAATTTAAAAAGTAAAAAAGATGAAAGTAAAAGAGTTGCGGCTCAAGCTAAATCTCTTGAACTCAAAGAAAAACTTCTTATGAAAAACTCAATAAATGAAAAGAACAGAATAAATAGCAGTAGTTTACCGACTGCTTTAATTAGTATTAAAAGCACAACTGATAAAAGAAAAATTGAAAATCTACAAACAAATCATTTTTCTTCTTTTTCTTCAACTTCTTCTCGTCATGTAAGAGAAGTTTCTTCTATAGCTGTTTCTAAATCTTTATCTAGCCATGAGCTTAGAAAACGTTCTAGATATTCGTCTGGGGGATTACATGAATTTGCAATATCAAGGGGGAAGGTTGGTGATGTCTTTACATGCCAATTTTATACGAGTATAAACTTTGGGAAGCTAGATTTTGTCTACGCCAATTGTGTTCTTGTTCCCTTTAAGAAGATAATGCCTATTCTTTGTAGTTTGAGGTTTATTAGTAAAACTCTAAGAATGTTCCTTCCCCAATCTGTAACGAGTGTATCTCAAAATGATTTGCTTGAACATCTTTATACTAATAGGAAGGTTTTTATGGGAATTAAGGAAAATGCTGTTTGGATAGTTATGGTTGTTTCTGAAAATAATCCTTTTATTCAATTTGAAGGAAATGAAAAAAGGGAACTAATATTTCAAACCGACAATATTGAGTATTTTGAGTTATTTTTTAAGACCTTTAACAATTCACATCTCGGCATAGATTGGAAAAGTGAATCATATAAAACTGCTTTGTTTTATAGGGCTAGTAATTTATTTAAGACTTTAAGTCATTGGAAAAGTCAGATTCGGTTTATTTTCTTGGAGATTTAAATACCTTTAAAGGTAAAATGATATTAGATTATATAAATAAAATTACCTCACTTCTGTCAGAACCAAAGAAAAACAAGAATGTAGTTGTGCAAAATGATTTTATACCTTATTTACATCAAATAGATAATTTTTTTCAGTTAAAATGTTCTAAAACTAAATTTTTTATAGAAAATAGCTTTAATTTCGAAGAAACATTTAAGCACGGTGGAGTGGTAAGTTTCACAAAGGAATTTGTCGAATACGGTTGCATTGAGGACATGAGGCAGATAGCTTTTATAGTCAAGAGTAAAAGCAATTGGAATGTTATTTTACCAAACAATCTACTTGCTCTATTTAAAAAAAGATTAGATAAAATGAAGTTAACTTCTGATGAAAATAGAAAATTACGTGATTTGCTAGAATTGTTAAACAAGGTTAATTTTTTACCTGATTTGATTGATCAGAATTTTATTAGTTATGTTGAAAGATCTAATATAAAGATTTATCGTCATTTTATTTTAATAGGAAAAGATAATCAAGTAAATGTCGGTATGCCACTACAACAAGCAAGATCCTTTTTAAATAAACTTTGAATCTATTTTTATTAAAAATAATATTAGATTGTTTTATTTGATAATTTAAATTTAAACTTTTGATTTTATTAAATTTTATACTTTATTTAGTTATTTTAAATATTTTACAATAAAGATCTGAAAGTGGTATTTCTTAGTAAAAATAAAATAATTGTTAGAATTCTTTTTAGATAAAACTAACACTATTTTACTAGATATTTATTTAATTTCACATCTTTTATAACTTAATTTACTTATTTCATTGATTATATATTTATTGTGTGATATTAATAAAATTAGCAATAAATTGTTATTTTAATAAACTTAGATGTTTTTATGTCTTATAACAAACAAAAAAGATTAAAACGGCAACTATATAATAGAATAAAGATTTTAAATTGATATTTTCAATATAAAAGATCAACATATCTAAAAATGGTTATTTTCTAAATAGAATTGTGTTTATGATTGTTGTAAATATTTAAAATTATAATATAAATATTGAATCTGTTGATTAAACTCTTTAAAATAATTTTTTAAACCTTTTAATATCGTTAAAAATATTGGTTAATAATATATTTGATTAATTTATAATCGATTTAAAGAAAAGTATTTAATACTTGTTATAAATTCAATTTTTTAATGGTTTATACTTTTTTAAACATACTAATTATAACATAATAAAAGTATTAAAATGATTTATTTTATAATTAAAAACTTATATGTTTTAAATATTGTTATAAAAGAAGATTCAGTAATGTTTATACAAAAACTTGTATATAATAAAAAAAGAAACAACATTTTTTACTCAAAATGATGTTAAAACAATTAATTTGGAAATTAATTGTTTTAAGTGTATAAACTCTATAAAATGCTTTAAATTTTTAATTTTTAACATATCAAGAGTTAAATGCCAATTTCATTAGAAAAACTTTAGTTAGAAAACATTTAAATAAACAATATTTTGAAAATAGTTATTAACAATGATCAACACAGATAAAAAATATGTTTAAATAAAAAAATTGTGTGTGATATATCCAAAACCAATAAAAGTATAAAATGGTGATGTTCTGTTTTAAACGAATAAATAAACCGTTTGATTAAATCAATTAATTATTTAATTTAGAAGGTTAAAATTTACAGGTTTGAGTTAATAATAGTTAATAACTACTTTAAAAAGGTGTATTAAAAGTATAAAATCTATAAGTTATTTTTATAAACATTTGAAAATCTTTTTACCAGTAATTTAATTTTAAACTAACTAATTGGATTGATTATAAAACATTTTTTTATTGACATTTAAAATTTTACCCAATCAATTGATCAATAAAAAAACAAAACAATTGTTTTAACCTTTTAAAAATATAAACTAATCAATTTTTGAGTCTATTAATTATCAAAAGGTGAATTTTATCAAATATTTAAATATTAAATTAAACTGAAAAAAATTTTATTTAAACATTTTCAAAATTATTTAAATTATATAAAATTATATTATATTATGTTTAGATAATAGCTTAAATCCAGTATTAAAAAATCGTTTATAAAGTAATTGTACACCTTATTGTTTTATGATTATCGTTTAGAAATTATAAAAAAAACACGCTCTTTTATACTCAATAATCATAGTAAAATAGTTTTATTTTTAAGTTATTAAAAATTTTAAAATCAATTTTTTCATATAATTTTTAGAAATTCTTAATTTTAAAACATCATAAATAGTACTGTTCAGAATATTATCTCAATTTAATTTAGCATTCTTTTAATTGGGGCCCCATACATAAAACTAAAATAGCTAAAATTGATTGGCGCTTTATAAAATTTTATTAAATAAAAAACTTTTATCATTTGAAAATACAGACACGTAAAGTGTCATTATCTCAGATGAATAGAAAGCATACCATGATATAAACTCTTATTTTTATAGCCACAATGTGGTAAACTATAGTAAGAATTTTATAGATTCAATAACTAGATGTCATACCTACTTGATTGAGTGTATATGGAGTTATGCAAAGCTTAAAATATAGAAAAATAAAAGAATTACTGTTTTTTCTCTATTATAAATATATTTAATATTTTTATGCCTTTGTTACCGACATAAAGGATCAGAGTTTGAAGAATTTATAAAGTTCTTAAGGAATAAATTTTGATAATTTTTTTTGACTTTTTTATTTTATCAACAACCTCTACCCCGTGCCCCATTTGAAGTAGGTGTTGTTGATAAAATAAACCACTTAAATATTTTTTGTTATAATAATTTATGGGGCGCAATTCAATTTTTTTGAGCGCTAATCCAATTGACAGATTTAAATTAAAAAATGGGGCGCCAATCAAATAAGTGTTTATTCAAGATTTTTAGAAAACTCTTTAAAGTCTTAAATAAAATTTTGTATAAAAAAAATATTGTTGTTGCTATTGACTAGATCCTATTCTAATTCTTTGTTAACCTTATATCAATTATATATCTCATTTTCTATTGATTGTTCCTTTGTATTATCTGTGTTTCTCAATAAATTATTTTGTTTAATCATTTAATTTGTTTAAAATTGAGGGTTAAAAATAATTTTTCTAATTAGATATTGATTCAATTGTAATAACAGAATCTCTGTTGATGATTATGTAACTACTACTATCATATTAAATAATTTACATTTTCTTTATTTTCATGTTTACATCACCAGTGATTAATATTACAATATATTTTATTATTAAATAAATCCGTTTTATGGTAAATTATTTTAATCAGTCAACAAAATATTTTAATTATGAAATCAATAAAAGTGATATAAACAACAGTAAGAATAAAAATGAATAAATTCATTGATAATTGTAGAGCAATAAAGCATGTTTTATATATTATGTTATTATTTAAATATGATCTACATCTAAATTTATAGTTTCAAATTTTTTATAACTTTATTATCAGATTTTTTTAAAATAAATATTAATGAAAAAGCTTTTAGTAATGAATTTGTTTGTATTTTGATTCGATAATATTTTTAATTATTTTATTTTCATTATAAATAAGCAGAAAATTGTCCATTTGTTAAGTTAAAAACAAGTATCAATTTTATAAACTTCGATTATTTCTAAATTTTCAAATTATTCGTGTCAACTTTAAATATTTTATTTTTATTATAAATATTCGGAAAATTAAGCTTATGTTTAAATAAAAACAAGCATCAGTTCTTTAATGTTCGATTCTTTTAAATCCTTGAAATATTCTTGTTAAATTTAAATATTTTGTTTTTAATATAAATATCGAATGAATAAAGCAACTGTTTAGATAAAAATTGCTTTATTTTATAATGTTCGATTCTCAAAGATATCATTTTTTTAATATTAAACTTTAAATTTTTTATAATTTTATTAAATAAAAAGAAATAATTTTGAAAAAATTCGTAGTGTTTATGACTATAGGAATGACATAAAGTTTCAGAAGTTACTAATTTATTATTGTCTTATTTACTTTTCAATATTAATAAACAAATTATCTTAATTTAACGATATTTTAAAATTTTTAGTTTTTTTTAAATGTTGGTTCACTTTCATTTACTTTATTCGGTTTATCATAGATTTAAATTTAGATCAATTTTTAATTTATTTATATTAAGTTTTATTTGTGATGTAAGTTATTTTAATTATAATTTTATTAAATAATGAAAAACTGACCTTTCGTTTAATAATAAAGACAGGTTAATTTTTAAATATTCGATTCTTGTTAAATTTAAAGTTTTTTTTATTTAAAAAACGTTGTAAACTAGCTTCTTAACATCAATAAACAGTTATATATTGTTAATTTATGGATGATGAGAAATAATGTAAGCTTAGATAAAAAATTTAATTTCTATTAAATTATGAATAAAGATAATTACAAAGATCAATCAACCATGAATAAATTTATTTCTAACGCTAATCACTAGAATTATGTCATTAAATAGAAATATTTTATTATTATATATAAAATAAGATTGAGGCTATGGTTTTGATAAAAAATTATAATAAGTTTTTATTAGTTCGATCTCAATAAGATCAATTTTTAATTATAAATACTTTATTATTAACAGAAGAATTAAGTAGTGGTTTAAACAAAAATTATGATTGAATTTAAAACATTTATATTCTCAATAAATTTAAATATTTTTATTTTATTGTATTATTAAATAGGAAAGATTGAGTGCTAGTTAGAAGAAAAAATAGCAGTCTATTTTTATTAGTTCGAACATCAATTAGTTCATTTTTAATTAAAAATATTTAATTTGTTATTAACAAAAAAATTAAGCTGTAGTTCATACAAAAACTGAGTTTCAATTTTATAAACACAATTCTTAATCTTTAGAAATAAAACTGTTTTATAATTGAATTTTTAAAGAAATGAAACTGTTCTTAATAAATTTATTTTAACTCTTAACTTTTAATAAATTACCTATGATAAATAATGACGTATGTCATATAGGGGTGACTGTTTTTGTATAGCTGCTTTTAATTGTACAAACTGTAAAATAACTAAATCTTAGGTTTGTTTTTTCATGATAGTTTTTCAAAGAATTTTTTCTTTTAAATTTAAAAAAAGGTTAGTAAATTACTATTATTTAATAAAGGTGTTAAATTTGCTTAATAATCAACCTTTTTAGATGTGATAATATACAAGACATGACAGAATAAGAGATGTAGCATTAAGATTACTTATTGGAAACCGGTAAAGATGGTGTTTGAGGCTGAAATAGAAACAACAACCACTTACACTTTATTAGTTCATTTTAAAAAATTTTAATTTAAGTTATGATGAAAATTACAGTGATCGTTTTACACATTCAAATGGGAAATTAAACTTAAATTAAAACGAAACAATTTTTTTATTAGCAAAATGTTTCAATCCAATAATAAATGAACATTAATAAACTAAATTTTAAAACTTTCTTAAAACTACCTTAGACAAAGCACACGTGGACAGAATGTAAACATAAATATTTTATCTTACTTTAGATTAGAAAAATTTAGGCTTTGGTTCAAACAAAAAACCCTGCTTAAATTTAAATGTTCAACTCTTAATGAATTTATCAAAAAAATGTTTTAAATTAAATATATTCGTAAGTAAGTAAATTCTCTCTCCGATTCTCTATACCCATGCCTTTATATTATTCGCAACTCTTCAGGCTGTCATCGATCTAAATATGATTATCATAAAAACTATCTGGATGTAACAATTCTTTGTTAATCAGTTTATTAATTATGAGGCTTAATTAAAAATTAATTAAATAATCTTATTACATCTATTTGACAGGTTCATCTTTCTTTTAATAAACTTAATCCTTATAAAGATAGAATGTATAGTTCAGATAACAAAATATTTTTATTTAATTATTAACACAAAAATTGAGTCGTAGTTTAAACAAAAAAATGTGAATAAATTTTTAGAGGTCAATTTTTAATATTTTTTTTAATTTTAAGTATAAATATTTTTATTTATTTTAAGGTAAGAAAATTATTATTATGTTAAACCTCAGTAGTAATAACTAGATTATTTAATTTTAAAAAAACCCACTGACTTATAATTCATCTTCTTTGTTATCATCTATATTATATACTCTTTCGTATATTTCCTCTCTCTATCTCCATGAAAGGTTTAATTTTTGAATTAATTTAAAATAAACTCAATAAAAAATTAATAATTTTCCTTCCAAATTTAGAAATTTAAATAATTATTATAAACTAATAAATAATTTTTACATAATACAACACTTAATTTTAATAAAATACGACTAATTTTTTTAGTTTGATTATTAAAAGTTCATTTTTTTAAAATATAAATAATCTGTATTATTTACAATTAACAAAAGTTTGGGTGAGAGTTTAAATAAAAATTCTTACCGAATTTTTTTACTTCGATTCTTAAAAGTTCATTTTTAAATAAAATATTAATTTACTTATTTTAATTTTTATTATCAAAAAGAATGAGTTGTAGTATAAGAAAACATTGTTTATTATTTTAATATTCTATTCTCAATTAGTTTATTTTAAAATTTCTAATTTTGAAATTTTATTTTATTATAAATTATCAATGAAGAATTAATTATAGTTTATATGAATCTAGGATTAAAATTTATTTGTTCGATTCTCAATAGATCATTTTTTAATTTTTTAAATATATTTTACTTTTTTATTAAACACTAAAAAATTGAAAGTTTGGTTTTAGTAAAAAATTACGACTAAATTTTTTTAGTTCGATTTTCAATTGATTTATTTTTAAAAATTTTTTTGTTAAATTTTAAATACTTGTTAATTTAATTAAATATTAAAACATAGGGGCTTGGTTTAAATAGAAACTAAATCACATTGTTTTTAAAGTTCGATTTTATACCAATCTTTAACAGATTTTAGATTTAACTTGAAATAGTTTGTAATAAAACCTTGTATTTAATACCAGATAATTCTTTATTAATATTCAAGATGTTTGGAAACCCCTTTTAAGTTTTTAAATAAATTTTACACATAAAAATATCATTGTTATATAACTACATTTATTTTTCTACTATGATTAAGATTTCTCTTTACAATTATAATTTATTATTAACGAGTGATATTATACCATCTTTTGTTAATATAAAATTTATTAAATAAAAAACCTTTATCATTTGCACATATGGATACGTAAAGTGTCATTGTCTCAGATGAGTAAAAAACATACCATGATCTAAACTTTTATTTTTATGGCCACAATGTGGTAAACTATAGTAAGAATTTTATAAACCCAACAACTAGATGTCATACCCAATTTATTGAGTGTATATGGTGCCCTGGTAGCATAAAATAAAGAAAAAATATCATTATTTATCTCTTATAAACTCATTTATGCTTTTTTACCTTTGTTATTGACATTAATGATCTGAGTTTGAAGAATTTATGAGGTTTTTAGGGAAGAATTTTTGATAGATTTTAATAAATTTTTTGTTAAAATAATTTAAGAGGTGTCAATTAGTTTTTTTGGGACGAAAATACAATCGACGGATCAAAATTAAAAAATAATGCGCCAATCAAAACAATACCTTTAATTTTGATTATCTTCATTTATAAATATTTAATAATTTTTTTCGAAACCAGATTTCAATATAATATCTATAATTTTTAATATATTTATTTAAAAATCTTTTTAACCTACCGTTTATAATAAAATAAAACTAAGAGTGGTTAAATGTATTCGTTTTTTTTAATACTTCTAAATATTATTCTGAAATATTATAAACAATGAACTAATTAAGAATAAACGAAATTATAATTGAATGTATTTAGAAAAGTGAAATAAGATAAGAAAAAATTGAAAATATTATTATATAAAATATAGTAAAATCCTTCATAAGATTAATATAGTTATATAAAAACAAACAATTTATTATTATTTCAAAACTTTAAATGTCTAAAATGTATTTAATATTGAATAATTAAATAGTAAAACTTTTGATCAAAGATAAGAAAAGATTTAGAAAAACAAAAATGAAAAAAAAAGTTGATTAAATTATGATTAAATTATTATATAAAAAAGTATAATTTAATCATCATTTTTTAATTTAAAAATTATAAGGTTATAAATTAATACTTTAATTTATCATATATAATGAATAGAAAACAAATGTTAATGTCAGAGATAAAAAAACGAATAAAAATTAGAATCTTTTTACTTAAATAATATTTTTACATTTTCTTAAGAGTTAAATTCTTATTTAACAACAAATATTTTAAATTTTAAAATAATATCTGGTTAAATTATGTTTATTAACACTATACAATTTATTAAATTCTTATCTGATATAAAAGTATAAAACATTTTAAAACAACAATTTACTTTTTATTTGTATTAATAAAATTTCTATTTATAATTTCATCTTCTTACTATTGGATAGACTGTGTTTATAATAGCGCTTGTAGTTTACTTTAATAAAATATTTTCGATAAACTGTGATTGATTTATTTGATTATAATTTTAAAAAGGAGTGTTTCTAATACAATTTCATAAATAATATTATTAATATATTATTTTGATTGGTTTACAGAGTATAAAACGTTATATTCATTTACATTTATTGAATTTTAAAAGTCTTTTATTTTTTTATAAAAAATTAAAAGACTTTTCAGAAATAAACACAATTGATTATATCTGCTAATCATAAAAAACTTAAAACAATCATTTCATAATACTTTTACAATCTAAAAGCACACTTATAATTTATTATTTTAATTAAAGAATAAACTATCTATTCAGAAAATATTTTTGCTATGAAAATATAATAAACATGTTGATAATGATATTTTAAGTGATGAATGAGATATAACACAAGGAATGAACAATTTTAATAGATTGAATAAACTAGTTTGTATTTTCCATAGCAATTTTATACTAAGAATTTTAATAGAAAAAATTCACTGCTATAATTATTTTCTGAAATGACATTTTTGATGTATTTTTGTTTTTAAAAGTTTATTGGTTTTTAATGTCAAATAAATCTTTCATTAATAATTTTTGATTAAAAAATCTTTTATAAAAAACCGTCAAACACACACAATATAATCTTAAAATTAATTTAAAAACATGTAATTTTTAACTTATTTTTAAATTATATTTTAAATCATTTTAAGAAAATCTTTTAACTATTTATGAAAAATTTTAATTATACCCCTAAATGGATCAAAAAATAGATCGTAAATCAAAGATAAGTTTTATAGCTAATGCAAGGTCAGCTGATAAGAATACAGAGATACTTAATGATATTGAGGGTTCTGCCTACACAGGAGAAGTCATGGGAGTAATAGGACCATCTGGATCTGGTAAATCATCACTTTTTGATTTTTTGGCTAATCAATTTTCTAAGCAAAAAGTCACAGAAGGGCACGTATTCATAAACAACAAAGAAGTTAAAATTAATGAGCTTAACCAACATCTTTCTTACAAATCACAGTTTACCCCTTCTTTGGAAAAATTAAAAGTAATTGAGCATTTAAAATTTCAGCTTTACATGGAGGGCACTAAAATAACAGATGAAGTGTTAGAATCTATTGATAAGATACTTCTTTCTTATGGTATGTTAGATAAGAAGAATTCATTGCTTGATATGCTGTCATCTGGTGAATTGGAGAGAGTTAGTACAATATCTAGTGTTGTTTTAAACAAACCAATACAATTGTATGACGAGCCACTGAGTAAGTTAGATGTATGTACAGCTCATAGGATGCTTGAAGATCTTAGGAACAGTGCAAAGAAGAATAATACTTGTGTAATTTTATCAGTTCACCAGCCCAATCCAGAGATACTATCTTATTTTGATAGACTGATGGTTTTATGTAAGTATGGAGTTCTTTATCAAGGTAGAACTGAAGATTTTTCAAAATACTTCAAAGAGAAGTTAAATCTTTCAATTACTACAGCGGAGGATTTAATAGAGTTATGCTATATTATTGAAAATGATGTGTCTTTAAGAGATTCAGTTGTGAATATTTGTAAAAAGAACTACAATATAGAAGAAAATTTACAGGTTGATGATGATTATGAAGAAATTCATACAATAGATAAGAAACCATTATTTAAGTTTAATATATCTTTTTATTTATTTTTAAACTTTTGGAGAATTTTTAAAAGCGGATTTACAATATTTAAGATGTTTTCTTTGACTTTACAGATATCAACAGTATTAGGAGCAGTTTTTTTACATTCTATGAATTTTTATTTTAAAAATGAGAATAATTTAATGTATTGTTTATTTGCTTGGTTGAATTATTATTGTATTTATCAAGTATTTTATTACTTCTATGGTTCTTCCGTAATTTATAATGAAAATATGAAAAAGTTTGAACGTCAAGAATTTATAGGTTTCCTTGATATGTTTAGAGGTTCATTTAGATTACATGACTTTCTAACTTATTTTTTAACTTTAATAGGAAAATTTAAAGGTTTTTTATTACTTTGTTTAGTTTCATTTTTAAGCTTTGCAATTTTATTTATGTTTGATTCTTATTCACTTAATTTGATGAATGATGGTAATAATATTGTTTCTACATTGATTTATTATGTAAAAAGGGCAAAAATTAATATTTTTGAAATGGTGTTCTATTTCGCAATTTCAGTTAGTCCATTTACAATATTCTTCAGTTTATTTTTCAATATTATTTATATTGGATTATTTTTTAAGGAATCAAAGGTAAACATACTTTTTGCTATTTTACTAGCATTTGTGAATCTTGGTAATTTAATACTTAAATCTGATTTATTTGGTCAAATGGTGGAATTATTATTTAATATTTCTGCGTCAAAGTTAGTTTTCTTTAAATTCATTTACGGGTTTATTTTTGCTATATTTGATATTATTTTATTTTCTAGTTGCTTACAAGTTACAAATGGATCAACATTTATGTTTAAAGATTCTGATTTAAATATTTTTTTAAGATATTTATTCAATAGTCAATTTGCAAAATATTTATTACCTTTCGTTGTTAAAGGTTACAAGGGTATGCTTAAAGCGTTAATTCCTTACATTGTAGAGTGTTTGGTTGCATTCTTAATTATTCCGTTTTTATTTTATTTAAAGATTTAAAATAAAATTACTACTCAAATTTATTAAAACTTATAGACGTTTTTGTTTGAAAATCCAATTTCTGATAAAACTCCTAAAATAGAACCCTGTGATTTATCTGGGTTTTTATTACCAGAAACTTCTTTCATCATTTTTTGTGGACCACATACATACACAAAATCAAATTCACCAAACTCCTTATTAATCTTTTCAAACATCTCTTTAGTAAAGTGTCCTTTATATGGAATTGAATTGTCTTGTGTGTAGACATTTATTAAGTTAAATTTACCAGACTTTTCATATTCATTGAAATACTCTTTACAAAATACATCATTTTCTGTTTTATTAAAGTTTAAAAGAGTAAATTTAGTTTTATTTTCATTAACTAATGCACTATTTAACACTTGTATACATGGTGTAATACCCGTTCCACCTGATATCATAAGAATATGATTGTATTTATTGTGTTCATATGAAAGTTTTTTTATAAAAAATTTTACTTTCAAAAATGATCCCAGTGGCCTACTATTTATGTATCTTGAAAGAAGCCCATTTTGATATACTTTTATTGCAAATTCCATAGTTGTATCAGAAAGTATCTTTAGTGGTGTATATGGCCTATAATTAGCATTATCATCATAAATAAAAACAAATGAAGAAACAATCATCTCTGGTAATTTGTTTTCGTATTTAAGTACTATTTTTACAACATTATGTGTAATCATAACTTTTTCAATTATTTTTAATTCCTTAAAAATTTGATCCATAAAAGTTTGTTAAAAAAACATTTTAAATATTTGTTTGTTTCACAACTTAAAACAATTATTTATTTTATTTTATATTTAATTTATAAGAATGAATCAATCAAACAATTATGTATTTAAAATTGTTATAATCGGAGATACTAATGTAGGAAAGACTAAAATTATAGAAAGATTAACAAAGAATAAATTTACTGAAAGTATATCACCAACAATAGGTGTTGATTTTAGTACCATGACATTCAAATTAGATTCTGATACATGTAAAGCACAGATTTGGGATACGGCAGGCCAGGAAAGATATCATGCTATTATCTACGCTTACTATAGAGGTGCAGTTGGAGCAGTTGTAGTTTATGATATAACAGATACTAAAAGTTTCGATAATGTATTTGATGAATGGTTAAAAAGTATAAAAAAAGCATGTGATAGTAATATTTCTATACTTCTTATTGGTAACAAATCAGATCTTAAAAGTGATAGGGAAATTGAGACTGATAAAGCTAAATCTATGGCAATTTCAGAAGAGATGGAGTTTTTTGAGACATCGGCTAAATCGGGTAAAAATGTGTATGAAGCATTTCAAAATTTCATCTCTAAAATATACGAAAAAGAAAAGGTTAACAATACTCTTAAAAAAAGAAAAGAAGTTAGAAGAGAAGACTTAAAGGGAAAACAGCTCTCCTTAGCTAAATCTGAAGAAAAGAAAAAATGGTGGTGTTTTTAAATAAAATTATTTAATTATTTAATGTCTGACTATTTGATACCAAAGAAAGCTACTAAGTACATATTTGCTGAGGAGAATATAAAAGTTAAAGAGAACTATAAAGATTGTCCGCTATGGGTTAATTTTGATGGACTAGTAATTCTTGAAACATTTCAACCAAATTCACAGAAAGCCATTGATTTTCTTATAGCAATTTCAGAACCAGTCTCAAGACCTGAATTAGTACATGAATATCAAATAACTGCCTATTCTTTATACGCAGCTGCTTCAGTTGGTTTAAACACAGATCAAATTCTTAATACATTACAGAAGTTTTCTAAGAACATAATCCCTAATGGAGTTAAACATTTCATTACTGGTTGTACATTATCATATGGAAAGGTTAAATTAATAAGAGCGCATACAAGATTTTATATTGAGACATTGAATGAAGATGTTTTTAAGATTATTTCAACAGATCAAATATTAAAGAATCTAATAGTTACGTTGAATAGCGAGAATTTTCTTATTGAAATAAATAATGTTGAGATGGTTAAGAAAAGATGTATTGATATTGATTATCCACTTGTGGAGGAATTTGATTTTTATAAAACTGATCACATGCCAAGTTTAGAAATGGATCTCAAATCAACCTGTCAAATAAGGTCATATCAAGAAATTTGTTTAAATAAGATGTTTGGTAATGGAAGAGCAAGATCAGGAATTATAGTACTGCCATGTGGTTCCGGAAAGACGTTAGTTGGTATAACTGCAATATCTACGATCAAGAAATCAGCTATTGTATTATGTACTTCAGCTGTGTCAGTAGAACAGTGGAAAAAGGCACTATTACAATTTACAACAATCAAAAATTCACAAATAGTAAGATTTACATCAGATAAAAAAGAATGGTTGGAAGATGTGGAGGCAGGTATTATGATAACCACATATTCCATGTTGTCATTTACAGGTAAAAGATCATTAGAATCACAGCGAATAATAACAAAAATATCAGACCACGAGTGGGGAATTATGGTGATGGATGAGGTACATGTAGTACCAGCTCAAATGTTTAGAAAGACAGTTTCCTCAGTAAGTCATTATTGTAAATTAGGTTTGACAGCAACACTTGTACGAGAAGATGACAAAATTGAAGATTTAAATTTTTTGATCGGTCCAAAACTATATGAGGCAGATTGGCAAGATTTAAGTTTAAAAGGACATATTGCAAAAGTAGAGGGAGCTGAAGTAAGATGTAATATGACAGCAGAGTTTTATAGAGAATACTTAATACAGAACAGTTCTAGAAAAAGAATTTTAGCAATCATGAATCCTGTTAAATTTCAAATATGTGAATATTTGATTGATAAACATGAGAAAAGAGGAGATAAAATAATTGTATTTAGTGATAGCGTATTAGCACTTAAAGAGTATGCAGTAAGAATGGGAAAACCTTACATTTATGGACCAACATCTCAGACTGAGAGAATGAAAATCTTAAAACAATTTCAAACTAATCCAAGAATAAACACAATCTTTCTTAGTAAAGTTGGAGATACATCAATTGATCTTCCAGAAGCTACGTGTCTGATACAAATTTCAAGTCATTTTGGCAGTAGAAGACAGGAAGCTCAAAGATTAGGTCGTATTTTAAGATCAAACAAAAGAAATGATCCAAATTTTAGAGTTTTTTTTATTCACTTGTAAGCAAAGACACAGATGAGACATTTTATTCTGCAAAAAGACAACAATTTTTAATTGATCAAGGATACTCTTTTAATATTGTTCCAGAAATACCCGATGCAGTCAATAGACAAGATAGAATATTTAAAACAAAGGCACAACAGAAACAATTGTTAAATCTTGTTCTTCAAGCATCAGATAAAGACATAGATAGTGAAGAAAGTGAAGACATGGATAAAATAACAGTAAAGAAAAGTTCAATTTTAACGGGTGGAGAAGGATTAAGCTATACAGAAAAATTAAAGAAGAAATAAAATTTTATCCCAAAAATGAAGTCTAATCAGAATATTTTTTCTAAAAAGTCTCATTACGTTATTGATGCACAATCACGAAAAACTGATTCACTTTTAGATAAAGATTTAAAATTCGATACAGCAGTGATTAACATACCAGTCTCAAAGGATGAAGACGAAGAGGTAATGAAATATCTTATACAACGTTTTAAAGAGAAAACATTTGATAATTTTAAAATGGAACAGATTAATGAAATTTCTGAAGAAAAAGAAGTTAAAATTGAACTCTGTAAAGATAATGAGCAAATTTTAGAACTTTGGGATGATTTAGAAACAACTCTTGATAATCTAACAAAATCACTATAAATAAATTTATTTTTTAGTCTGTGAAACAAATGAATTATAATCATCTTGAAGACCACTTAGCATTTCTGGAATAGTTGATTCATCTTCTTCAACTGTAAAACAATCATGTTCTTGTTTATAAAACAATATTTCGTTAATAAAAAAAGAGTCACTGGATTTAATTAAATCAGTCTCAATTGTATCCTTAAATGGTCTCATGTCACTGATGCAAGTGTTGGTTCTATTGTGGTATTTTGTTATACAATTAGAACATTTTGAAATTTTCTTCATCTTGCTATTAAGGGCAAATCATTTAAATGATTTTTTAACCAATTAAACTTAATTTATCATTTTGAATTAATTTGATTGGTTTCAAATTAGCTAACCAAACATCCTTCTACATCAATTTTAACTACTAAATATATCTACTTGTAAACTAATTTTAAAAAATTGATTGTAAAAATTTTTATAAAAAACTTTGATTTTAAAATGACAATTAAAGGTATTGTTTCAGATGTTAAAGAGATTGTAAAAGTACTTAAATGTAAATGTAGTGAAGAGAGAATAGAATATATAGCACTGGGTGTGGAAAAATATATAAATGGGATTTTAGATGAAGCAGAAAAACAAGTTAAAGATAAAAATAGAGTTATAGTGACTGAAAATGATATTTATGATATTTTAGAGGAGAGAAACGTTCCATTCTTAGAATTTCTTAAACCCAAAAATAATGAATAAAATTTAACCCCAATGAGTACAATACAACCAACAGAATCAGATAACACAAAAAATATTTTTACTAAGAGACTGGCTGTCAAGAATGTTTATTTTGAATTAGTGCCAGTTTCTAGACTATTTAAAATATTTTACTTGTTTGTAGAAAATTCTATTACATCAGTAAAACAGTATGTTAAAGATGGAAATAGTTTTTGTATTGCTGAATTTACTTCTAATGATGCAGCTAAGACTGTCTATGAAATGATGAATAATTTTGATATTGAAGACACTAAACAAGAGATAAATTTCTATGTTGTACCAGAAAGTATGAATGATTTTGGTGATTTATTGACAACATGTAAAAGTCCTAAAGATTATGTTCATGATCCTAAAAAGTACAGTAAAATTCAAGAAAAGATTGATAAACAGCAGACAAAGACACAACTTTAATAAAAATTTAATTATTTTAAACTTTTTTTTAGTTTATAATTTTAAAATGACTGTGAAAGTCTTTGAATTAGCACAGAATCAAGAATTTTGTTTTGAAGTGAATGAGAATCAAACAATTGAAATAAGAGTTGAATGTGGATTAGGCGAGATAAAAGGGAGAGAATTGATCATTGATAAATGGTATGTATTTACAGACATAAAGATGTCAATTTTTACATTTACTGGATGTAAGTTATCTGTTGATGATCGAGATGATCCAGTGTTGTGTTATATCTCTCACTCGAGTGTATTTCCACATATATTCAACTTCTTTCATGAAATAAAAGATTTGGATGAGAATAATTTGAATATTTTAGTTTTGGGAACCGGAAGAAGTACTTTTACTGCAACATTATCAAATTATTTTTTAAGATTACATCGTAATGTATTATTAACTGAACTTGATCTATCCAAAGGTAACATATTTCCAGGTACTGTGTCTACTATGATTGTAGAAAATTTAATAGAAGATTATTTTAGTATAAATAATCCATATTGTCTGTTTTATGGATCTACAGAAATTAAAAATAAAGAACTTTATGAGACACAAATGAAATTAGTTAGGGATAGAGTAATTGAACAAAGAAAAGAATTTTTACTACCTAATTTTATTATCGGTATGTTTTGGGAGAGTTCAATGCTTCAAAAAACAATTGATATTTTTAAGGTTAACAAGATTGTTGTAATAGGAAATGAAAGACTTTTTCATAAATTAGACGTTAAGATTCCCAAATATTTTATAGAAAATTCTAATTACATTTATGAAAATACAATTGGAAAATCAATTAAACGTTATTTTAATGGTACTCCATCAATGGTATTTAAACCATGTAGAATAATGTTAAATAGAAATATTATATCAATAATTAAGCTTAATGAAGATTTTATGGCACCAGAAAGTGCTTTACCATTAGGTACCGCAAGGAAGAGTGGGGTATCTGGATTGGTTGAAGTAGAAAATATGAGTGAAAATATTGTTATGTCTATTTCAGAGACAGACAATAAAGATAAGGTTTTTACAACATCTAGTATGGGGTTTGTTGTTTGTATTGATGAAAAAAAAGGAAGAATTTTAGCTTGTCAACCTAAAATTCCTAAATGCAATTATTTAGTTTATGGTGATTTTAAATACATTGATTTATAAATAAAATTGTTTAAATTTAATTTTTAATCTAATTTTACTGCATAAAAATCAATTCTTTTATATGAAGAGTACTGATTTTGCTAAATTGATAATAAATGAAAAGATTGTCAGTTTGCTAACAGAAAACTTAGAGAATTTGTTTAATATAGAATTAGATGGGTTTATAGGATCTCATCCTATAGGATTAAATCTAGATAATAAAGATCTTCTACTTGAAAACAACTATTATGTTTGTGAAAAGACTGATGGGATTAGGGTGATGTTATACGTTACTAACCATTGTGTTTATTTGTACGATAGGCTAAATAGATTTTATTTAACAGACTATAGATTTAAAGACAAAACAAAAACTTATCTTTTTGATGGGGAAATGTTTAAAGAAGAAGAAAAATATTATTATTATATATTTGATACTTTAATATTTGAAAGTAAAAATGTGATAGATTTTACATTTGATGTTAGACTGGGTTATGCCAAGTATTTTGCAATGAAATTGGTTCCTTTAAATATTTTAGTTAAGAAAGATGTAGAATTCTTTAAATTCAATATTTTATTTAAACAAATGATTAGATCATATTATTTTGATTATGTTCTTAAATCAATTTCAAAACTAAAACATGAAAATGACGGATTGATTTTTACACCTGTTAATGAACCTTATGAATTATATACTCAAACTAATATTCTAAAATGGAAACCTCCTTCGTTAAATACTCTTGATTTTCTAGTTGAAGAAACCGAGTATAAAGGAATTTATAAGTTGTATGGGTTACTAGAGAGACATCAAGTGAAATCTGATTTAAAGTTAAAAAATATTGCTATGACTGGAATGAACACAAAAATATTTTTTGATTATTTTAATGATTATGAATTTGTATTTGATAGGAATTGTAAGGTTTATGAATTTGTATGGGATGATAAGAAAGAAACTCTTAATTTGGATGATTTTTCAGTTATAATAGGTGGTTGGAAATTTCATAAAAAAAGAACTGATAAATCAGCGCCTAATAATATTAAGATTCTGTATGTTCAAATACAGTCACTTAAAGATGTTATTACAGATACAGATTTACTCAAATTAAAATCCCAAATGCAAGAAAATTACGAGAAACGAAAAAAAGGTGAGTCAAAAAACAAAGAAGATAATTTTCAAGAAGAAAATGTAAAAAAATTCAAATAAAAATTCATTCATTGGTTTGAAAGAAATCTTCTTTCTGTAACTTATCAGGTTCTATGTAATTTTTATCTAACTCAATTGAAACACTTTTATTTAAGGGAATTCCATATAAAAACAACTCCATGATATCTTTCTTGATAAAAACCATTGGGTTACTTAATACTCTTTTACTTAAACAATCCTTAAAAATTTGCTTTTGATATATTTTTTCTTCAACTGTGTTTCTACAGATGAATCTATAGATTTCAACATCCTGTTTTTGTCCATATCTGTAAATTCTTTCTTTAGCCTGTGAATCAATTGTAGGGTTCCAATCCGGATCATAAATAATTATTCTATCTGCACCTACTAGGTTTAATCCCAGTCCACCTACTTTTGTTGTTAATAAAAAACACAATATTCTACGATCATCATTAAACTTATCAACTGTTAATTTTCTATCAATTTGTGACATAGTTCCATTCATTTTAAGATATTTAATTTCATATGAGTTATCTTCGTTGTGTATTTTAAAAGCTCTCTCAATTATATCTTGCATTTGTATTGTTTGTGTAAATATAAGCACTCTGTTTTTTAATGAATACCATTTTTCTAACAAATTAAATAACGCTATCAATTTACAAGAACTTTCAATTAAATTATTATGAGGTGAATACCGTGATGCAATATTCTCTTCTAAATTCACTAAAGCTGGATGATTACAAATCTTTCTTAGTAAATCTATGCCTCTAAAAAGACTTTTATCATTAAAACGTTTGGTCGTATTAATCATATCAAGAATTTCAAAATAAAGGTTGTTTTGAATTTGTGTAAGTGCTGTAAATAAAACCTTGTCTTTCTTACTAGGTAGTTGGGATTTAACTTGAGATTTTAATCTTCTTAATATATATGGGTCAATTATTGATTTTAATTCCTGTGACATTCTAATCGATCTATTATTATTTCCTTTTATGGCATCTACATACTCTGATTTAAATTCTAATAAATTTCCTAATATTTGCGGATCAATGAATTCAAATATTGACCAAAGCTCAAGTAAATTGTTTTGAATTGGTGTACCAGACACGACAAATTTACAAGTTGCTACTATATTCTTACAAATTTTTGATATCTGTGAGTTTTTATTTTTAATTTTATGTCCTTCATCTAAAAATACACAGTCATAATTCATTGAAATAAGTGAACTGTCTTTTATCTCTATAGATCTTTTATTGTTTGACTTAAAATATTCATAGTTAAATATAAAAATTCCCCTTTTATTTTTTCCTGGTAGTTCCTTTAAGTATATTTTAGGCTTTGTAAGTCCAATTTTCTTATAAATCTTATTAACTTCACTTTCCCACTGTAAAACTATTGACAAAGGACAAAGTATCAAAATACGTTCAATAAGATTATTATAAAATAAGATAGAAAAAAATACAATTATTTGAACTGTTTTACCCATCCCCATTTCATCTGCAAGTATACCACCTTCTTTTTTAGTCCACTTACCCAAAAACCACTTTAATCCGTCTTTTTGAAAATCAAATAAATAAACATAAGCGTCTTTTGGAATCAAAATGTTATTAAACGTATAAAAATTTTCGTCCTTACTTGAAAAATTTTCAAAATCCATCTCAGTCTTCTTAATAGAAGTATCATCCGTTATACAATTTAATTCTCTATTAAGATCATTTTCTAATTTCGTTATCTGTTTTTTATATTCTAATTCTTCTGAAAGTGATCTAGCATTCTTAATTTTATCCTTAAACTTATTAATTTTATTTAAAGCCTGTGATTTAAGAGTTTCTATCAATACATTTTGCTCATATATACTTCAGCATCTTCTATTTTATTGTCAAATTGATCAATAAATGGTATTGTAGTAGAAGAATCTTCAATATTTGTATTCTCAATTGTCTCTTCTATCATTAATAAAATGAATAATTTAATAAAAATTATTTTTATAAAAAGTCTAAGAAACTATCTTCCTAAGTAAGTTTTATTAAATATTTACTAGTAAAATAAAATAAATAAACTTAATTATTAGATAATTTACATTTTACAAATTAATTTTTATACTTTAAAATCTGTAACAGATAGAATTTTTTTATTATATAAATTTTTTAAAAAATTTTTTTTCGAAAAACTATTTAAATGAAAATTTTCAGAACCCCTTATGGCGTCGTACTTTTCAGAATCTTTTGTTAAGTTAGTCATCTGTATTTGTTATAAGCAAGTATAATAACCAAGACTAGAATGAAGAAACAATTCTTTCATTTGTATGAGTTGACATGTGTTGACTATGATTACAGAAAGATATCTGACTAGTCCTTTTAATAAAGTTTTCTTTTCTAAATTAAAGTCGTCTTTCAAATAATTTTTTAAAGCACATTTATTTACCACTCAATTGAACTAATTTTATTAACTTTTCCTTGCAATTCTTCAATCTGTTTCTTCACTTTAATTCTTTTATAAAAAATAGGACATCCATCATTTACACAAATAACTTCTGTCATTGTACTTTTCATACATCTCTGACATTCTCTCCAACACATATTGAATAGTTTAGTCTCCTCATTGTATTCATTGTAAATTTTATAGAGATATTTTGGAAAATCTCTTCTACAGCCAGAACATAAAATTGTACCAGGTGTACCACAACCAACACATTGATCTTTTACAACTAAAAATCCTTTTAAAGGTCCTGAAATTACTTTTGATTTTTTAGTGCCTGCCACATGAACTCCTTTAAACAACGAACTTACATTATCCATTATTGGATCAAACAACCTGTGGATTGGATTACTCAACTGATGTTCAATGTAGTATTCAATATCAATTGGAATGTTATTTTCTAAAGCATACAAAGGATCCTCTGATTTATCATAAATTTTGTCATTCTTACCACCAGATACAATAACATATGGAATTCTATCACCTATTTTTACATCAACACCTCTTTTCTTTAACTTTTCAACCAACTCAACATGTGCTGATTTAACTGCATAATTAGTTTTAGTATAAGTTTTAGAAATAATAAGATCAAATAAATCAACTCTATCATTATAAAGATCCGTTACTTTTTCTTTTACATATTCTACTGCAGATGTGATATCTCTTTTATAAAAAATTCTATTAAGACATTCATCAATAATTTTCTTAAGCAAATGACAGTTGTCTCTTCTTACGGCTTCTATTCCTTTAGTATCGATTTTATTAGGTTTTTCTGGATTATTATAAATTAAACCTGCATATCTTTTTTTGTTCATTAAAATATAAGGAAAATATACTTTTTCAAATTCTAAAACAATAGAAAATTTTGAACCATCATTAACTGCTTTTTCCCCTTCTTTAATCTCTTTACGATCTTCTCCATAATCATAAAACTTCTTAGTAATATAATTAGCTACATTTTCACTAATTTCAAATACTCTTTTAAGACTACTTTCATAAAAGTTTATCATAACTGAATCTGTATCACCATAAATAACTGTTGAATCATACGCTAATCCATTCTTTTTATTAAAATTACTTTCAACAAGATTTTTGGTTAACAATATTAGCTCTCTACCTATTGAGGTTGTACTCTGAGATATTTCAAAACAAGGTAGTTGCCCTACTTGTGCTCCTGTAAATCCATAAATACTATTAGCACATATCTTAAGTGCATATTGACGACCATCCAATGATTTTTTAAGAGATTCATCATCAGTCATCTTAATCAGTTTCTTGGTAGCTTTTCTATTTTTAATTAAGTTTAATAAAATTCTAGGAAGCAATCCTTCACATTTTGACTTTTTCATAAAATAATTACCTGTTGGTGTTATAAATGCATCATCTTTATATTTAAGATATTGTTCTTTACTAAGAAGTGTTGTATAACAAAGATTGTTAGTAATCATAATTGATGGATATAGTGAGGTGAAATCTAATACCGCAATAGGTTTATCATAATATCCTCTTGCAGGATCCATTACAAACCCACCTTCAAATGATACATCATTATCCATAATTTCCATATCTGGAATAACAAAACCATACTCACTAGCTTCTTTATAGATTAATGCTAATACTTTAATAGAACTACCTCTGGTTGAAAAGTACTCAATTGGTACATGAGTTGCTCTTGATAACTCAACAAAGTTTATAAAAATATTGAGTTTCTCAAATAACCTTAATGGCAAATAAGTATCTTTTAGACAATAAGTAGCAATTCTTCTTCTAGTTTCCTTATCACCGTTCTGTAAACCATACATTAATGAGTGTGGTACATCTTCCTTTTGCTCTGCTAAAAAATGTGCTGATACTGAATTTAAGGAATAGCTTCTTAATTTATGATCTCTTTTGATGATATGAAATAAATCAAATATCATTCTACCATCAAGTGAAATATCACTAGTTTCAATAGATCCAAAAGCACTGGATGTTTGTGTCTTCTTAAACACCTTAGAAACTTTATCACTTCTTCCTAATTTACCAAAGTTTTTAATGTTCAAAACCCGTGCTCTTTCAAATAGAAAAGGAAAATCAAAATTCTTAATGTTGTAACCCAATAAAATATCTGGGTCCTGTTCTAGAATGTAGTCTTGCCAAGCTTCAAGCATTTCCTTTTCATCATCAAACCAGTGCACATTAGCGCCTTGAATATTAGCAACTTCTTTAAGACAAAAAATATCTTTAAATAACTCATTTGATCCAATACGCTGATAAGTGTTACCAATTTGAATAACAGGATCAACAGTTGCAGAAGGAAACCTATTTTCAGAAGAACAACATTCAATATCAAATGACAAGATTTTTAATGGTAAAATTTTAAGATATTCACCTTCTAAAGGAAGTACTTCTATATATTGATGTGACGTTTTAATAATAAAAGGTTCCATTGTTTCTACTTCGTAATTAGGAATTTTTATATAACACATTCCAGTCATTTTTAAATCATTCATAAACCTTAAAATAAAAGGAAAGTTTGATTCAAACACTTTTACTCTAAGAATTTTTTCTTTATAAGGTATTCCTTTCTCAAGAATTGACTTAGCAGATCTAAATGCGCCAGGTGAACTAAAATATAACTTATAGAGTGTTAGCTTGTTTTCTGAATATCCATAAATGTTTTTCTTCATGCATTTATCTAATCCTCTGAATGTACTCTCATTTAATTTAGATTTTAAGAAAGTTTTTAAATATTCTATATCAATATCCTCAGCTAAGTTGATGTAAAAGTATGGAGTAAAGTCAAAGATCTTTACTTGTATCGGAACCATCTCTTTAGTGACACCAAATATAGTTATTTCTAGACTTTGAGTATTTAAACTCTTCATATTAGTTGTATACTCAATGTTACTCTGCAATAAAATAATTTCTTTCATTAGGGCCTAATTAAAATCTTTTTATAAAGTTTAGGTAAAAATAACTAACTTACTCTTAATAAATTTGAAATCTATTTAATTTAAATTTACTATGTAAACAAATAAATGCATACTCATAAAAAAAGTATTGAAGAATTAATTAATATCTATGACGTAAAAATGAGAAACGGCAAAGTTTATAAAGAAAGAAAAAAAATACCTGGAATTAAAAAGAATCTTTCATTTCATAGGGAAAACACTCATATAATAAAAAGAATTTTTTGTTTAATAAAACGACCCATAAACTTACTTCTAATATCAGCTTCAGTGGCTCTAGGGGTGTTGTACTTTTTTGAGAATGAAGAGAAAAACCACCCAGCTGTACTTACTATCACATTAATTATTGTATTTTTAAATATTTGTACTGAATTATACTATGAGTTAAAATTTTTTTACAAGTTTAAGGAAAATGTACATGTTCCTACTTGTAAGGTATTGGTTGGTGATAAATTTGAAACAATATCTACAGAGGATTTGGTGGAAGGTGATGTTATCAAGTTGTGTAAAAGTGATGTTGTTGGAGCAGATGGTGTAATTATCCAATTAGAAGAATTAAAAGTAGATAATTCAAACATATCTGGTTCTGCGGAAGTAATAAAGAAAAGTTTGGAACCTAAAAGTGATGATTTATTAAAAGCGGAAAATGTTGTTCTAAAAGGAAATATCGTAATATCCGGAACAGCTATTGCCATTATATTTGCAGTTGGTAGAGACACTATTGAATTTATTAATTCTAAAAATGAATTTATAAAGAAAAAGAAGGCTGGTCCAATTACAAAAGAATTTGATTTGTTTTTCCAAGGTTTGTTCATTATAGCTACCTTTATTAGTGTAATTTTATTGGCAATTTCATTTGCAACAGGTCATGAATTGGTTTATATATTTGAAGTTATTATTGCACTATATATTGGAATATTACCTGAAGGTATACCAACAACAATTGATCTTATTGATTACCAGGCAATAAGAAAATTAAATGATTTAGGTATTCTAATTACAGAAAAATCAACTATTGAAAATTTAAGCGTGTTAGACCATTTAATTTTAAATAAGGCAGGTGTAATCACTGTTAAGGAATTGTTTTGTGAAAAAATTTACGATGGAACTGAAATTATAAATGTCGAGTCTGTATTTTTTGAGGATAATGAAGTTGAGTATAAAAAATTACTAAATATAGGATTTATATGTAGGAGAATTTCTGATGATTATAAAAATAAGATTGAAATGGATCATCTAAACAACGACATTATTTTGGATGCAATAAAGATTTTCAGTTACATTTGTCAAGAAATATCTATTAAAAAATCCTTAAATTTTAATTTTAACATCAATCAAAATGTTAAATTTATTTTAAGTGATGATAAATATTATACAAATTGTACACATTTTTATTTTAATGGGAAGAAAAAACGAATTAATGATAAAGAGAGGAAAAAGTTAATGATAGCGAGAAAAGGATTAATTAATTATGGAACTAATGTAGTTTGTATTTGTCAAAAAACAGGTGATGATTTAATTTTTGTATGTTTCTTGAGTTTTATTAATTTAGCTAAAACATGCACAAGAATAGTGACTGATGTGATTAGAGCAACGGGTATTAATATAACAATGTTAACTAAAGATAAAAGTTTTTACATTAAAGAACTTTCAACACAGCATTTGAAAATACGAAATATTCTTAGGTATGAAAATTTTGACAATCTTGATGACCACATCAAAAGAATGTTCTATGAAAATAATTTTACACTGATGGGAATTGACTATAAACAGAAATATAAAATACTTAAAGATTTAATTGGTTTAAATAAAATAACAGCAGTTATTGCTAACCAGACAAATGAAGCACCTTCGTTGTATTTGGCTGATGTAGGAGTATGTACATTTGAAGCACCGGAAGCCTGTAAAGAATCAGCAGCAATAATTTTTAAATCATATGAAGATTTTATATATTGCTTAGAAGAAGGAAGACTTTACTTAATAAACCTTCAAAAGTCTGTTAAGTACATTCTAATGCATATAACACCTCAAATAATTCCATTATTATTAACAGTTGTTTTAGGTATTCCACTACCAATATCACCAATTTTATTGGTATTTGCAGATTTGTTTATAGAGATATTTCCATCCATATTTTTTGCATATGAACCCCCTGAAAGAGATGTGATTACTCTTCAACAAAAAGAGTACCTTGTAATAAATGAGTACGATGATAGCATTTTCATAGTAAGAACACTTAAAAAATTTTTTAAACTGATAAAATCTGATGTAGGTTTATTTAGCAAAAGTGTATTATGTTGGAGTTTAATAGAAGCTGGCACATTATCCACTATCGGTTGTTTATTAGGATTCTTTTTTGCTTTAAAAAGAAAAAACATACCTTTTGATTTATTTTTCTTTAGTTCAGTTGATTACTTTAAACCAAATGGAAAAGATTACATTACTAGTAGTGGAGAGCTTATTGATGTCGAGGATCAATTAGAAGCGTTGTATACAGGTCAGAGCACATACTTCTTAGGTTACATTATTAATCAGTTTGCCAACATGATATGTTGTAGAAGAAAATATGATTTTTTCTTTGATAAATTTTTTAATAATTATTTGATACTGATCTCATCTCTGGTTGGACTCAGTTTGACTATTCTGATTAATTATTTAAGTTTTTTAGAAACAATTTTTATAATTAGAAGACCTTCTTTAGTTGCTTTAATATTTCCTTTGACATCAGCCGTCTTAATTCTTTTATTAGATACTTTTAAAAAAATAAATTTTTAATACAATTTACTTAGAGAGTGTTTCTGAGAAAATAACTTGACTGTATTTAATTCTGTATATTAATTGTAAATCTTTAGTAAAAACAGTTTTTCTCTTTCCATGAGAGGTTGCAAATTGTGCATCTTCAAATAATGATATCATAAAAGCTTCACAGGCTTCTTGTATTGTATACAAAGCAGCCTTTCTAAACCTAAAAGGTTCATCAGTTAATTCTGCGGTTATTCTCTTAGTTGTTCTGATGAAAGGTGCTTTTTGAAGAAGTAAATTAACTGACTTCTGATATGCTTTAATTTCTTTTACAACCTTACCCGGAACAAACTTTTTTTTCTTTATAACTAAACGCTTACTAATAGGTTTTTTAGTTGTTTGACTACCCTTCATTATATTCTCATTCTTAACGCTTAGTATATCCAAGTTCTTTACTCTTGCCATGAGGGTAAAATATTTTATGATTTATAAAAGAATTTTTGGAGGGATTTTTTGATTACCTAAGTCAGATCATTTTAAGTAAAGATAAATCTTCCTAATTAAAGGCGTAAATGAGGTTTTTAACTGGTTATTAATTTTTGAAAAAAAGTATTTTTGATTTACTTGAGTTATTTTCCCTCTTTATTTTGATTTCCCTCTTTATTTTGATTTCCCTCTTTATTTTGATTTCCCTCTTTATTTTGATTTC